ATCTTCTATTCTTAATCACTCACACCTACACACCCACACCCACACCCTTCTCACGAAAGAAAGTAGATGTGAATTTTGATCACCTTAAATATGTTGTAAATATCTTAAAAATCGATTTATCTTAGTTCATTCACATAATCAGAAGCTCATATTTTGAATTTTTTTTAGTTTGATAATGAGACATTTAATGTAGTCAGAATATGTCTGATTTTATATTAACTGACAATACAGACACTGCTCTCCCTCTCTTTCTATTGTCAGCTCATACCAACCTTATCACCAATTGGATATATAATTAAATCATTTCATCAAAGATTTGTTTCATTACAGATTCTGCAAGCGAAATATTAAATAAGATAAAGTTATTAGTAATAATGCTGCTGAATGATAAAGAACTGGAGTATGACACTATTGAGTTGTTGTTGACCATATCTTCTTCTTCAAAAAAAAAAACAAGAAAAAGAAAGGATGCGCCTATTAATGTAAGCAAAGTTCAACAAACGTACTCACATTCTAAAATTAAGAAGCATTGCTGATATTTGTTATGAATTAATTATTATCATAAAATCAGATATTCCGAAAAAGCAATGTCTCCTGTTGTTACTGGTATGACTGCATTAATTTCATCTATTACATGTAAGAGAGCGTTTCTAAAGATGAAGTCGATTATAACAAATGACAATTTGTAAAGATAAATACATTATTGCTTTCTTTCTCTCCGGGAAAAAAAATATTGTATGATCTTATATGGCAATCATAAATATTGTTAGGACTGAGTCTAACCACTTGACTTTTTCTGATTACACCACTACGAGTTAGTCTTTAAAGTTCTCGTGTTTTCATCGAATATCGCAAATATATGTGAAGCGCGATCGAATATTATACTGATAATGTCAATGTTTTATCTTTCTATTCGGTGTTTAGTACATAATAGAATTTTTTTTGTTGTTTTTTTTTCTAGTTTTACTTTTCACGTTAGCAAATATTCAGAAGAAATGAATAGTTAGCTAGCTATAAAATTGAATATGATTAATAAATTTGAATTCTGTAGTTACATGTCATAAAGTTCGAACTCGTTTATGATTTTGTTTTGTCCTAATTTTCAATTAAGCTCCTTTCCCTCCTGGGAAACTCGATTTAAAAAAAAAAAGATGAAAAACTAAGTTTTGTCATAGAAAGATGTGCCAAAGTCTCCTTTTTTCGAATATATACAATTGGACTATTTTTTTTGTACAAAACAGTTCAATTGTAATACATATATTAAGGAAGTTTTACACTCTACTCTCATGTTTTTGTCGAGAAATTTTCGTACAAAAAGAAACGACTGTAGAAGTCTAGAAAAAATTGTGATTTTCCTAAATAAATTAATGCGTTCCATTGAACAAATTATGCTAAAACTTTAAAAAAGATTCTTGCTAAAAATTTCAAGTTGACAGTAACTTCTAAATAAAGAATATGAGAAATACACCTTCATAATAAAAAGAAATATATAAATGCACCAATTGAGAAGAAGACATCAAAACACTATACATGAAGTTTGACTAGAGTTCGATACAAATCTCTACACCATCACCATGTTTCAAAAATTATGTACAAGAATATTATAAATAAGTCGTTTCTTACGTTTGTTTTTTTCTTCTAAATTTTGAATAATGAAAAACTAATTTCTAAACTTACATATTTTTTTTCGATTTGTTGATGTAACATGCTATTTCAAGCATTAATTATTTCGATTTCAAAAATTCGAAATGAACCTTTCATATCACATTGTAGAAGACATTTGATTTTGTTTTTTTTCCTAAAAAATTTTGCATCTTGAAGTAAATGAAACGACATCCAGTTATAAAAACCTAATTTTTGGTACTGTTTTCAATTTATATAACTGAAATTGTAATTGGAATATTACAATAGACAGATAAGAATAGTATTGAATTCAAATATGATTTTGACCATTTTGGTTTACTTATCTAATGACAAAAATCTTTATAAAAGTCCCTAATTTTTGGCTTATTTTCCGATGTTTCTGGGCATGATTAACTTAGTATCATAGTAACTCGTACATACACATTGAGGAAACGTTTTGTGGAAGTCACATATATTTTTGAAGAAAATAGTGAATGTAAGTTTTAAGTTCAAGTTTTGGTGGCCCTTCCTCTCCATAACAGACCGTAGCAACCAGTGTTAAATGTGGTTAAGCATCCTAGCTTATATAGAATATGTGAGTTCTATATTTCAGCCCCAACAGGGCTGCACTAACAAGCTTTTTCAACTACTCAATCGCTCTTGAGTTCGAACTCTGTTGCATAATATAGATTCTGTTAAGATATGAAAACCTCGAAAATGATAAATGTTCTAAATATCTTCTGTGCAGACTTGTAGAAATTTTACTGCAATTTTAGCCTATGGTATCGTGTATATACCAAAAGAAATCGAATGACAGAATTTCAAGTTGAGACTATGTCTATAAATAGATCGTCTATTTTTGAGTACAATGTTTCGAAAGTTTCAGCTCAAACACAATGTTTTCTTGCTGAGATAATAAAGTCCACAAAAATCGAAAATTCTAGTACCTTTCATGGGATAAGAGTAATTTTTGTGGACTTTAATATCTTAGGAAGAAAAACATTGTGTTTAAGCTGAAATTTTCATGATATTTTACTCCTAAATAAAATTATCTGTCGACATAATTTCAATCCGAAATATTATATCATGATATCAAAAGCTAAAACTGCAGTAAAATTTCTACAAGTTTGGACACAAGACATCTAGGACATTTATTATTTTCAGATTTTTGCTTGTCTCAATTGAGTCTATATTATGCAACAGAATCCAAATTCAAAAGCAATCGAGCAGTTGAAACTATTCCGAGTGTGAATGTGTTTTTAACTTATAGAAGAAATACATTTTATACTGAAAACAAGAAATTTTTGAGCGCCATAATGACGACTTAAGAAGTGTCTCTAGGTGTTGAGGCAATCTTTGGTGGTAAGAGTAGTAGAAACATTTGTGTAGAAGTTAGAAAAAAAAACGACCTATTCAAATGAATCTAGATCCAATAAAAAAGATGTTTATAATCTCATGAAAAATAAAAAGGTGTAATAGTGTTACGATGTTTGCTTTATCAGTTTTCTTCTATGAGTAACAACAATACCTAGATAAAAATATCTTTTTTTGTTGTACTTTTGAAAAGTGTGTTCGATGCTCTACAAAAATTTGTTCCCGATATGCATTTCATTGTGAGATCAACTTTCGCAAGAAATTAAAACTTAAGTAAGAGCACTTCAAATTCAGAGTCTTGTTATGTAATAGTAGTAGTACGTAACACACAAACCTTTTTATAGAAACTCAAGACTTTAACGGATGTAGAAACGTCATTTTTATATCATGAATAAAACATGATGATGAGATACGTTGAATGGTACTTTGAGCAAACTTTCTAGCTATCACAGTTTCGAAGATAATTAATAAAAAGTGTGTCCAAAAAAGTAACAGTATTACGTTTGAATAAGATGTTTCACTCAAAACAAGATATTTTTGAGTTAAACAAAAAAAATATAGAAACTTCTCTCAAATGATTCAAGGTATAAAAAACACATCTTTTTTTTTTATTTTTGAAACTTCAAGTATGAGTAAATTTTTTGTAAGATCATATATTTTTATATTTTAATTTTTGAGACTGAGAAAAGTAGGATTAAATCTTGAAAGAATAAACTCTTTTCTTGTTAGCCTAATTTTAAAGCGTAAGTCCAATAAAACACTGACAAAATAGAGAATAAATGACAATAATTATCAAAATTCTACTTTTTTCTGTCGAAAAGTTGTTCACTATAATGTTGACTTTTGAATTTGAAGCAACTCCAAGTTCTATAGTTTTTTTTTAATAATGGCATAGTCTTAAGAAATTCTCAGTGTAAGGTATAAATCACCTATCAATAAGTTCAAACTTTAGTCCAGTTCAATTTATAAAACTGAAATTTTTTATTATTAATAAAAAAACAACATGTTTTTCATTAGGATTAATTATCGTTGAAAATTGCAGCTCCGGAAAACGAACCTTGCTAAGTCCGAAATGTGAGCTAAGACACAGATTTCTCTTAACGAATATTTTACGTTTCTAAAAAGGATAATAACTTATAACAAAAAATATTCAGGATAATACTGTGTTTTTTTTGTCTTGAACTCTTCGTCATGATATTCGGCTTGTCGGCAGGTAACACACTCACGTTTTGTCAACTTTCGATCCAATTTTCTTAGTAATAACAAAGCGTAAAATCTTCAAATTTGCAGTACATGTGTATATAATAAAACACTTCAAGATCTGTGAGTTTCATACAAATTGATTTTGTGGTTTACTTTTTATACTAAAAATACATGCCGGTAATGCACTCACAAAAAAGGCCCTCTGTCATTTGAGTGATATGAGAACTTTCAAAATTTCTGTGAATTCTTGAATATTAAATATATCGGCTAAACTGTAATTTATAGAGGATACTTAAGCCTATTAATACGAAAAAATAATTTCGAAACTTGTAGTGTTGCTGAGAAGTTATATTATAAATATTTCGGTAATGCACTCACTTCTCGTGCTCTGACGATATATTCTCGAGGACTTAGTGCTTTCTTTTCTACTTGTTAGAGTATAGAAAGCTTATTATTCTTTCATTTTCGAAGTTTTACATGTCTTCATGTTGAAATATAAAAAAAGATCACTGTGCCTCTCAGAGTTCAAGAGAAGGAGCAGTTAAACAACGAACATCTTCCACGTAGTTTATCAGAATGCTGTAATGAATTTGTAAAGTATAAAGCACAACTTCACATGTCATTCTTTTATTTATCCAAGAGTAACAATGAACTTTTTACTTTTAACTTTTAACCGAATTTCTCACAGAAATTACCAAGAACCTTGAGAATTTAGACTATCTATTAACCCTGAGATGGGACTTAATTTGAATAGATTTCGCATCCATTGATTTTATACTAGGTGTCCAGCCAGGAAGGAAAATCACGTATTAGTACTGTATTGGTACAAAGAAGTTTCTTCTCTGGTAGTATCAGATTGCCAAAGTTTCGATGAACTCGAACACCAAAAAGATTTATAGTCAAGAACAACTTTACATCGATAGGTAGGGCCTATTTATGCCAGCAATTCTTTTTCAAAATAATGCTGTTTGCATAATATAGTCGGAATATTGATGGAATGCACTCATTTGCTTGCGAATTCTCATCCTTAAATATCTAGTTAATCCTTATATCTCTAGAACAAACGTTTTTTTTCTTTTTCAAAGCGCGTGTCACTGTCTTCAGCTTAACTAATCAAATACAATCCGTTAATATTTAGGCACTTTTGGATAGTTTTATTATTATCGCGTAACATATTTTTGTTGACATCCTAAAAGTTATTGATCATGTTTAAAATGAGAAACATGGAATACTGATGTAAAAGAGCGTCTGTCCAAAAGTGACAATATTTTATCCGGTAGTTACTCTATATTTCATATCCTATCTTCTATTATTTACCACATTTCTCATTGAATTTTGGAGGTTCTTCCTCGCATGAATACAATTATAGACAATGTTTACCTTGAAGTTTACACTTTTGTGTGACTGAAAAAATCATTCAATCGTTATCAAATCTAATGATAAAGAGGTATAATGGCTAATAACAGAGTAATATTAATTATAAGATCCAAAAAGCATTATATGCTAAAATGACGACTGCGTCAGTGCGTTATGTACCATTTTTGTTCTCAACAGAAAAGAATAACCAAAAAATAAGTCCACCATGGGACAGCCTATGGAAAGTTAACGAAGAAGTCTAAGGGATTTGAAAAAAATAATGTGTCGCTGCAGCGTAAAATAAACTAAGAGCTCTTTTTAGTAACGCATTCATGCAAGAATTTATCAAGTTTTAAGATAACTACTACTATTACCACGTTCTTCCAATAACCATGGATCAAATGAAAATTATGTCAAAAGAAAGTCTTCATTTCGTACCCTTAGAATATGTGTTAACAGTTAATTTTGATTTGCATTCTCGCTTCTTTTCTATCGTTTCCTTCAAACCTACGGAAACGAACGAAAATTTTCAAACAATCATATCAAACCTGTTTTGCACATAATTTTTTCACTCACTAGAAGAAAAGATAAAATAAAGTATGTTTCCTAACACAGTAAAGTGTACCCTATAATAGGATATTATCAGGTTCTACCTTAATCATTCTGGTTGACCGTTGGTCGGACAAGCCATATTATTTTTGCTTTTTCTACATCTAAAAACATGTAGAAAAAAAACTACATGCAAAAAATAAACGTATTATAACAATCGACTCTAGAAAAACAACATAATGGGTTAAAAAATGATGTCTAATGAGCATATGATTGGGTAGATAAATATGAAGAATCAAAAGAAAATAAAAAAACAATAGAGAAATTTCAGTAGTGTATTCTGAAGAAATTTCTTTTTTTTGTCTAGAATTTTTTCTTTAACATGCGTTGAACCAACATATAGAGAGAAAAAAAATTCCTAAGAAAAATAATGTGAAATAGTTTCAACTTCTGTTATTCTTCTTCTTTTTTTTGTAAAATATATGTAGAAATATGAATTCTTTTATTCTTTTTGTTTCCTCAATCTATCGGGAAAATTCCCAGTTCGTTTGAACTTTAAAAACAAACAAAGCAGTATAGTAAATAATTGAATGTTCTCTAATGAAGTTATTAATATCCAATCATATATATAAAGAAAAGGTGATTCTATTAAAATCAATATGAATATAATGAAGACTTTTTTTTCTTTTCATTAATTCTTTTTAATTAGTTTATTTCTATTATTCATGACTCTCTCTTACACTCTGTCTATTAGTCGATAAAAGAATGTGAGATTTCCATGTTTTCTATATATATATATCAGAGATGTCCATGGCGGCGCTGCCGCTGCTGCGCCGCCATCGCCACCGCGGCAGGGGCAGAGTTTTTAAAAACTCATCACGGCAGCGGCAGCATTTTTTTCGAGGACATTGAAAAACTGCATGAATTTGATAGAATTTCATTGTTTACAAATGAAACACCCTGAGACTGAATGAATCTGATGGAGTAGTACCAATATTTCTGGTCCAATACAGTTGCAGCAGTGAAATTCGAAACACTTTTTTGAAAACCATCGCGGCAGCAGCGCAGCAGCGGCAAGTTTATTACTCATCGCGGCGCGGCAGCGGCAGATTTTCAGCCGCGATGGACATCTCTGATATATATATGCATATTCATAACTTACATCTTTCATAAGACTAAAAACAAAAATTCATTATTTGTAACAGAATGACTACCGTGATCTCTGTATTTTTCTTTCCAAGCAAAAAAAAAGAACTTTATTTATTTGTATATTAATGATTTATAAATTAGGATGACTTACATTTCAATAGATTCATATAGTCTCCGAAGATATTTCAACTCTACGACAAATCTTTTCTAAAGTCTTTTTTCTACAGTCCGCTAATACAAATATAAGATCAAAGATAGTTGAGAAAAAACAAAACGTTTTGTTTTTTCAACCATGTATCAGTAAATTGATATTATCTATGTAGTACCAGACAAAAAAAAAGAAAGACATCTATCAATAGTTATTTTATGATAAACTAAGTAATAAAGAAAACCAAAAAGAAAAGAGAAGAAAACAAAATAAATAGTTTTTTGATAGCGCCACCTCCATTATCAAAAGAAAAAATTGGAAACGAGCCAAAACTTGGAACAATGTTGATTTTGAAAAAATTCAAATGAACTTTTCACTTTTTTTCTCTCTATAGTCTCTCTCTCTCTCTTATTTTATTCTCTCCTTTCACTCTATTTCAGTCTATCCTTTACGTGGAAGTTCCATTGACATTCATCCAAATGCTCGATGGCAACAAAATGGTATCACTGTAGCTGGAGGAAATGGAAAAGGCACTGGAATCAATCAACTCTCAAGCCCATATGGTTTGTATGTTGATGATGATCAAACAATCTATGTTGCTGATACGTCGAATCACCGTATTGTGGAATGGAAACGGGGTGCGAAGAGTGGCCAAGTGATTGCCGGTGGAAATGGACAAGGAAGTGGAGATCATCAGTTATCTAGCCCAAGAGATGTGATTGTCGACAAAGAGAGAGATAGTATCATCATCTCCGATAATTGGAATAGAAGAGTGGTTCGATGGCCTCGTCGAAATGGAACAAGTGGAGAAACAATCATCTCCAACATCGATTGTGTGGGTTTAACAATGGATGAGAATGGATCTCTCTATGTCGTTGACAATGAAAAACATGAATTGAGACGATATCGAAGAGGAGAATCTCAAGGAATAGTGATTGCAGGTGGCAATGGAAGTGAAAATCATCTCAATCAACTCTCTTCCTCACATTACATATTCGTCGATCGAGATCATTCAGTATATGTTTCTGAAAAGGACAATCATCGTGTGATGAAATGGATGGAAGGTGCAAAACAAGGCATTGTTGTGGCTGGTGATCAAGGAAAAGGAAATGGTCTTACACAATTGTCATATCCTCAAGGAGTCGTTGTCGATCAATTGGGCACTGTCTATGTGGCTGATGGATGGAATGACCGAATAATGCGTTGGTCCAAAGGAGCCACACAAGGAAGTGTGATTGTTGGTGGAAACGGTAGAGGAGGACAATCGAACCAACTGAATGTGCCCATCGGTTTGTCATTCGATCGAGATGGCAATCTCATTGTCGTCGATTGGGGAAATCATCGAGTACAAAAATTCAATATCGAATCCAATAAGTAAAGGACTCCGAAAGCAAAAAAAATTCTTTTATATTGTCATTATCACAGTCATCCTACAGAAAGAAGTGACGCCGTAATTCTTGGAAAATCCTTTTCGAAAATTATAATAAAATGTACTCTAATTATAAACAAAACATATATATGTATCTGACCAAACCCAGTATGACGCCACGCCGTTTCCATGCAAGGATTCCGAAACCTTGGAAATCTTGAAAAATTCCGATATATCCTATTCATTAAAAATAACTCAAAATCATTAAGAAACTTCGTATTAGATGTTTCTGAGATTGCCTCACACTGTTCAACATCTAGAAAATCGTAGGTTCTGTGGAAATCCTTGGTTCTTGCATTGAAATCACCACTTCCAAAATGTATAAGAAACCTTCGAATTCAGGACACATTTGCTTCGAAAACAGTCTCCAACACCGAAAACATGAAGGAATTCTTAATTTTCTTGAAACTTC